GTTTATATGCACTTCCTATTCAATAACAATTAAATGAAACCATTAACATTAAAAAAAAACAAAGATCAAACACCATTCATATAAAAGCTCTAAGAAAAACTAAGGACTAGAAGGAAATACCTTCAACATTATAAAAGCTTATTGGACAAACCTACAGCCAGCATCTTATTTAACGGAGAAAAACTGAACCATTCCCCTCTAAATCGAGGAACCAGCACGGATGCCACTACTCCATTCCTATTCAACATAGTCTGAAATTCCTAGCCGAGCAATTACGGCAGAAGAAGGAATAAAAGGAATACAAATAGGTAAAGAAACTTGTCAAAATTTTCCCTAGTTGCATGGTGACATTGTCCATATAACCTTAAAGACCCAAAAACTCTACTCAGAAGCTTCTAGACATCATCAATAGCTTATAGCAAAGTAGCAGGATATAAATCAACATAGAAAAATACATTTAGCATTTCTATACACTAACAATGAGCAAACGGAAAAAGAATGTATGAAAACAATTCCATTTACAATATGCCTCAAAAAAAATCAAACTACTAGTGGTAAACCGGAACAAAAATTGAAGACCTCTACAAGGAAAACTATACACTTCTGAAGAAAGATGATTGAGGAAGAACTATAGAAAGTGGAGAGATCTCCCATGCTCAGGATTGTAGATCAACATAGTAAAAAATGTTACTCCCCAAAAGTAATCTACATGTTTAATGCAATTCCCATCAAAATTCCAATGACATTCATTAAAGAGATTGAAAAAAATACTAGCCGTTAAATTATATGGAAAACAAAGGCCACGAATAGCCAACAATAACTCAGTCAAAAGAACAATGCAGGGTATTCACAATACCTGACTTCAAACTATATTACAAAAGCAATACATAAAAACAGGGTACTGCACAAAAACAGACATGAAGACCAGTGGAACAGAATAGAGGATCCACTATTAAGCCACACAACTATAACCAACTGTCTTGACAAAGGAGCTAAAAAATTATACGATGGAGAAATAGCAGCCTCTTCACAAAAAACTGCTGGGAAAACTGTAGCAGTCTGCAAAAAACTGAAACTAATCCATGTATATCACCCTATACCAATATTAACTCAAAATGATCAAGGATCTTAATATCAGACCACAAACTCTAAAGTTGATACAGAAAGAGTGAAATACTCTGGAGTTAGTATAGGTAAGAACTTTCTCAATGAAACCCAGCAGCACAGAACTAAGAGATAGCATAGATAAATGGGACCTCATAAACTAAAAGCTTCTGTTCATCAAAAGAAATGGTCTCTAAACTGAAGAGAACACCCACAGAGTGGGAGAAAATATTTGCCAATTAACATCAGACAAAGGACTGATAACCAGAATAATAGGGAACTTAAAAAACTAAATTCTCCAAAACTAATGAACCAATAAAGAAATGGGCAGTGAACTAAACAGAACTTTCTCAAAAAAGAAAATTCAAATGGCCAAAAAAACACATGAAAAAATGCCCATCTCTAGCAATAAAGGAAATGCAAAATTAAAACCACACTAAGATTCCACCTCACCCTGTTAGAATAGCCATCATCAGCAACACACCACAACAGTTGGCGAGGATGCGGGGAAAAAGGAACCCTCTTACACTGTTGGTGGGAATGTAAACTAGTACAACCACTCTGGAAAAAATTTGGAGGCTACTTAAAAAGCTGACATCGATCTTACCATTTGATCCAGCAATACCACTTTGGGGATATACCCAAAGACTGTGACACTACTCCAGAGGCACCTGCACACCCATGTTTATTCGGCACTATTCACAATAGCCAAGTTATGGAAACAGCCAAGATGCCCCCCACTGACGAATGGATTAAGAAAATGTGGTATCTATACACAATGGAATTTTTATGCAGCCATGAAGAAGAACAAATGTTATCATTCGCTGGTAAATGGATGGAATTGGAGAACATCATTCTGAGTGAGGTTAGCCTGGCCAAAAGACCAAAAATCGTATTTCTCCCTCATATGTGGACATTAGATCAAGGGCAAACACAACAAAGGGATTGACTGAGCATATGATAAAAGTGAGAGCACAGGGAGGCGTAGGATAGGTAAGACACCTAAAAACTAGCTACATTTTGCCTTAATGAAGAAAACTAAAGCAGATACCTTAAAAGCAAACTGAGCCAATAGGAAAAGGGGACCAGGCTCTAGAGAAAAGTTAGATCAAAGAATTCCTAGAAGGTAATAACACACACACAGGAAATATGTAGTCAATCCCTGTATAGCTATCCTTATCTCAAACCAGCAAAAAAACCCTTGTTCCTTCTATATTGCTTATACTCTCTCTACAAAATTAGAAATAAGGGCAAAATAGTTTCTGCCTGGGAATAGTGTGGGGGAGGCGGGGATGGGTGGTAAGGAGGGTGGGGCAGGGGGGAGAAATGACCCAAGCCTTGTATGCACAATTGAATTAAAAAAAAAAAAAAAGATTCTTCTGAAAACACAATGTTTCAGATATAAAGATCAAGAATATCGAAGAAACTTATGAATTGTGAAACATATGTATGTAGAAACGAAAAAAGCTATACAATGTGGTATGAATTAGTAATGAAGTAGCGCAATTTTTTATTTGAAGACAGCTTAACCACTGGTTTTCAAAAATTCTCTAACACATTATAACTGAGAACAATAAACATTCAAGAAATCAATACACAGTGCAAGGGAAAGACGAAATCCAGGTGCATGTCGTATAAAAAACTCACAGAACAGTCTTTAACTCAAAGATCCACCCGATTCTAATGCCAACCAGATCTCTTTCAATTCTATCCAATACCAACTCTGGAGCAACTTTCCCATGAGATGCCTTCAAGAGAACTCAAATTAATTGGATTATTTCCCTGAAATCTGCTCATCAGTACTTCTTATCTTAGAGATCAACATTTGTAAAGATCTATTATTTCTGTGCCTTTCTATGCATTCACCAGTATTTACATGGGTGATTTACCTACTACAAAAGAATATTTGGTTAGCTGAATAAAATCATGCAAAGTTCTGAGAGATGTGCTTGCTAAACAAAGTACTGTGAAAAGTTACATATTGTTTATTACCTGAAAACTAGTCATTAAAACTAGACATTTGTTGAATCAGACAGGTAAAAAATATCATTGTTCTTATTGTTAATGTATCTGCTTTTGGAAAATATACTTATTCCCAAGTTTAGATTCCAACTTTGCTTCTAGTCCAATTTTATGTCCAAATTATAACACTCTGAATACTACATGAAAGTTGCTGCAAGAGATAACTCTAAACAACTATTCACATTATATTACATGTTTATATACACATTAATACACTGCATTGTTACTATATACAGTGTAAATGAAGTTTAATCTCGCTAATCTGTCTTTGCTTTCACTCTTTTTTTAAAAATTTTTTTCTTACATGATTTTTCATGAATAAAATTACATTAATAACGTACCTTTTTCGGCTCGTACTTTCTTTCCACAATGAGAACAAGTTACATGTTGTCACCTTCTAAGTGTCTTTATAGTAACTCATCAAGAGATTCCTGTGTAATAACCACATTGTAAAGTTCGTCATTATTTACAAAAAAAACCAATAATTACCAGATTGGCCCATTGCACAGAGGAAAACCAATTGTTTATGAAAAAAGTGAATTCTTAATTTAGTAAAAAATTTTTCTTCCCCTCATATGATCTTACAAAATTTTGCCAAAGGGTCCTCTTTACATTTTGATTGGCAAATAACCAGTTTTGTGTTCACCTTTAATTCTTACTTAACATGGCAGAGGAGAAGAAAATACATGAAACATTCATTTCTTTTTAATGTCACATACAAATTGCTATATAAAACAGTTAAAAGCAAAGAAAATCCTAAAAATTATGCCATTACTCACATAAATGTCTTTCATACTCAGCCACCTGCACCTCACAGTATAAACAATCTTCAGCAGTTTGACTAACGTTTCACATCCTGATCAATCAATAGCAAAAAATTAAAATTTATTGTAAGCTAGAATATATTAAGATCTCCGAAAAGCAAAACACGTATAATACTTACCAAGACACGACATTGTGTTAATTACACCTCCAAACAAACTTTTCACGTGTTTTTCTTTAACACACAAAAAGTCAGCAATTAAATGCAGGAAAATCTGTCCAAAGCAAGAAACTCTTCAGTATGCTGGCACTAACCATCTGGAGATCTTTCTTCAATTTTAGTAATCAGATCAGTAAAAAACTCTGTCATATCTTTCTGCTCCCCAGTATTAAGAGGCTGTTTATCCATTGTATACGTTTTACAGAAAGGTCTAGGATTATATGCTTTACATTCACTCTCCTATAAAGAAAAAGATGGAAAATGATATTAAATAAAAATAAGAAAACAGCCATAACAAGGTCTTCAAAGGACTAAACAAAACGATAGTAAATCTAAAAGAAAGGTTGTGGGGTTTTTTGGGGAAGAGAGGAAGGGTTATTATTGCTGTTGCTTTTGAGATAGGGTCTCCATATGGAACCCAGGCTGTCCTCAAACTCACAATCCCCCTGCCTCAGCCTTCAATGTTGGGATTATAGACCTGAGCCACCACATCCAGCCAAAGGAAGTTTTGAAAATGTTCTCTTTATTTCTTTTTGTTAGGTTTTCATGGCATTTTCATTTTAACGTACTTGATGCCAGAAGATGCTTAAATTAACCATATGCAATTACTATTTTTAGGTAAAGGAATTTCTAGGAAGGAATTTGGGCCTCAAAAGACTCAGATTTTATTGTTGAGAAAATAAACTTTGGAGCGGAAACATGTTTTCCTACAGACTGAACTATCTGTTAAAAGTTTCTTATAAAAAATGAGATTAAAATCAGAATCAAGGAAACATGTATATCTTACTTTTGTTTAAAAAATTTATTCAACCTTACTAAGATTAGAAAATGAAAAATACAGAAAACACATGTGACACCAATCTCTGCCTCAGATAAAACAAAGAACAGTAACTTCATTACAAGAGGTAGAAACAACGAGAGCATGGAGACTTGAGTCTGGTAGAAGGGGTGTAAACCAAGATGCACTAAGGCACAAAAATGAAGAAGTGCTGAAGAAGAGTGACATGCACAGAGTGGCATTAAGTAACTTTACAGCTCCAAAGGGCTTAGAATTACTAGGTGTGAACCTGGATATGCAGAGAGAAAGAGAGAGACCGAGGTAGAATAAAATTACAGAGAGATGTGTTCATGCAGATGACCTTAAATACCATCCTATTCATAATGAAGAACGACTGAAGTTTAGATTACCACTGTAAGGCTTGGATCTTCTTAAAATTGATCACTTTTACCATTTTGGGGATGAGAATTAAGATGAGAATTAAAAAGAAGTAAGTTAGAAACCTTGCGGCATTAAAGAGGTGACCCTGTGACAGGAAAAGGATCAGATGCAAGGAACTTTTCAAAGGACAAATTAACAGGATAACTGAGATGTGACTGTTAAAAAAAAAAGCCATTATGACAAAGATAGGTAACTAAAAAAATTCAATTTAAAAAACTAGAGTATGCAAGACTTGATGAAGCCAGTACAAATTCCATGTGACATTTTTAGACCTTTCAAAAGATAAATGTAATTATTTTCTCCCCATGATTCTCAAACATACCATTAAATATGTAAACATTTTCTGAAGCTCCAAAAGAGTGGTTTTGTGCTTCATATCTTCTGAATACTGGAAATCAAGAGAAAATTTTCCATCAAAACATACTAGTAGTAAACTAGACAGGCTAGCAAACAAAATCTTTCAATGTGCATAACACTACATCTGTTTTCATCCTCTTAGCTGAATGTAGGGATAACACTTTAATTATTTTATTTTTCTTCAGAAATTATAGTACTAAAAATTAGTAGTTTCTTCATTTCAATAAATACAGTGATCACCATTATGTTAAGAAACTGAATAGGGAAATCTTTGAAAAACTGCTTTTTAGATCAACACTCATTTGGTACAATGACTGACAAGAATGAAAAATATTTCAAGTGTGCAATAAATTGCCTTCTATAAGTAGACTCATACATTAAAAAATACAGAGACATTAAATGATACTTCACCATCATATAATCACATTTTTACTTTCTGTAGAGTAGAATATACTTAACAATAAAAAGGAATACCAGCCAAGATCTTTGAAAACTGTCTAAATTGCAAAATACTAATAACCAAGATTAGGATAACTGGCTACACACACTAGAAACTTAGCTCTAAACAGCAGCCTTACAGGAGAGATCCATATAACATGCCAGACTCTTACCAGATATACTCTATTCTAATTCACATTACTAACTCAACTATGTTAAAGCATCACCACCATTACATTACCACTTGTTCATAAATAAAGTTGTGAGAGTATCATGAATATTAAGCCCAGAGTGGCGATTAACACCAGTATTTGTGTCAGTCTTGGGGAATGCAGCGAGGAACATGGCTCTCTGTTTAGGAACTTATTAATAATTGAGGTAACAAATAACTAAGATCTATACAGCATATACCACAAAATTAAATGATAGCACAACTGTAACTGAATAGAGGAAATCAATAGATTGGCAAAAATAACCAGACACAGATTATATTCCTATACTATTACATGAGAGGCTTAATATTTTATGAGATGATGAGAATAGTAACAGAAGATGACAGCATAACAGGTCCAATATATGCATAGTGCTAACAAAGAAAACAAAAACAAAGCATTCAGAAACAAAGTCCTAGACTCATATTTCTATTACTACAGAATAAAGCACTAGTTATCTAAAGAAAAAATGCCTAATTGATACATTTAGTGTCAAAAACAAGGAAATTTTATTCAATGTGCAATTTTAAAATATCCTACAATTATTATGTATTTAGTACTTAAAGAAATGTTTATGCCCATTAGGATAGGTATTATTGCAAATTAAAACCAGAAAATGATGAGTGTTAGCAAGGATATAAAAAAATTGGAAACCTTATACACAGTTAAGTGGAAACATAAAATGGTGCAGCCATCATGGAAAAAGTATGGTGATTCCTCAAAAAATTAAACAGAAAGTTACTGTGTGATCCAACCACACCACTTATGGGTATATGCCCAAAAAAAGTGAAAGCAGAGACTCAAAGAGATTTATATACAGATGTTCATAAAAGGATTATTCAGAAGAGCCAAAAGGTGGGAGAAACCCATGTGTCTTTCAAAAGATGAACAAACAAAATATATCACATATATGTGCTATTACTCAGCCATAAGAAGAAAGGAAATTCTAACACATGCTATGATACAAGTAAATATGAAAGGCATTATGATAAATGAAATAAGCCACTCACAGCTGGTCATAAAAGAACTAATATTTTATTGCTCTGTTTTATGAGATCCCTGGAGTTGAATTCAAAGGAGGAAAGTAGAATGGTGACTATAAGGGGCTGTGAACAGTAATGGAGTCAGGTTTAATGCATGCAGAGGTTCAGTTCACTCTGAACCTGTTATAATATACAGTGTGTATGTATCAATGCCACACAAATACATACTTAAAAATAATTAAAACTATGCATTTTGTTTTGTGTATTTTATAAAAACTAAAATACATGTAGCTTTATTTAATCTATGAACATCAAAAAGGGTAATAAAATTACCTGAAGTTCTCATCTAAAGCATCAACTTTCTGAAGTTATACTGTCGACTTGTATTGAATACGAACTTTCTATGTAGGGCTGGGGGTATAGCTTAGAAATATACTAGCCCAGCATACACAAGGTCCTGGATTTGATCCCCAGCATAGTAATATAAGTAAATATATGTATGCCCTACACTTTACAAATGAAGTACAAATTAAAATTTTTTTCTATATTGACGTAAGTTGATATACAGTCTTTAACCAAAAATACCACTTAAGAAAATACTCAAAATGAGCATATGTAAGTGTTCTTTCTGTTGCTACTAATTGCTAGGAATGCTTCTGTTTGTTTTGGGGTTTTTTGTGTAACTGGGATTTGAACTCACGTGTGCAAAGCAGGCACTCTACCACTTGATTCACAAATCCAGTCTCCTAGGAATGCTAATAGCTAAAATTAATCATTAAGATAAACAAGAGGCACCAAGAACTATGGCCATTTTACCAGCTAAAATGAAAAGCATCAAATATTATCTTCTTTGTTAACTACTGGTTTTATGAAGTTATTCAGATGGAGGACTGGAGGCATAGTTCAAACAGTAGAGCACCTTTACCTAGTTAAGTGTGAGGCTCTCAGTTCAAGCCCCAGCACTAATAAACAAACAAAAAAACCCTACTGAACATGGGTCCTCTGTTTGGGTTTTTTTTTTTTTTTTTGCCACTCTTGCCAGCCCTTTTTTATGTGGGTATTTCTTTATTTTATTTTTTATTATTCATATGTGCTACAAGGCTTGGTCTTTCTCCCCCCTGCCCCCACCCCCTCCCTTACCACCCACTCGCCCCTCCCTCTTCCCCCCACCCCTCTCCAGCAGAAACTATTTTGCCTTATTTCTAATTTTGTTGTAGAGAGAGTATAAGCAATAATAGGAAGGAACAAGGGCTTTTGCTGGTTTGAGATAAGGATAGCTATACAGGGATTGACTCACATTATTTCCTGTGATTGTGTTACCTTCTAGGTTAATTTCTTTTTGATCTACCCTTTTCTCTAGTTCCTGGTCCCCTTTTCTATTGGCCTCAGTTGCTTTTTAAGGTATCTGCTTTAGTTTTCTCTGGCGTTAAGGCAACAAATGCTAATTTTTTTAGTGTCCTTACCTATCCTCAACCCCTCCCTTGTGTGCTCTCGCTTTTATCATGCTCAAGTCCAGTCCCTTGTTGTGTTTGCCCTTGATCTAATTCCCATATGAGAGAACATACGATTTTGGTCTTTTGGGCCAGGCTAACCTCACTCAGAATGTTGTTCTCCCATTCCATCCTTTACCGCAATGATAACATTTTTGTTCTCTTCAACGTGGCTGCAAAAATTCCATTTGT